CACGCACCCACACACGCACACACACGCACACGCACAGACACACAGACACACAGACACACACACACACACAGTTGAATTCACTTCCGTATCGAGGATCTTCTGGTATTTGGACATTATCGTCCACTTTCGAACGTGCTTCTACATGCGCGGCGAATTCGAAAAGGATGCCGGGAAGATTGCCCAGCGCTACCTCAGAGGCTGGGTCTAGCTGCTGCCATCACCCTGCTCCCTCCTCCGCTCTCGAACTGAGGATGGTTCCTTTGCGATTTTTCGCCGCTTCGCTTTTCACAAACTTTGGAATGGAGGGGCCGACGTATAAGGCTGTCTTGTCCCTTTTTGTCCCTGCAATTCTCGCGCGCACCGAGGAATGTCTTGGCCGACTTGTACTTAGACTCCCGGGCCCCCTACGCAGTGGCCGTCCTCTCGGAGGTTGACTTCACCAGCGTCCATCGCCCGATCAAATTCCATGGCAGCAGCTGCAGTCCCGATGCTTACGTGAAGCATATAGCTGGTATATCGGCGAATCAGCGCCTGAAAGAGCTCAGGATCTCTACAACGTGGTCATCATCAAGTTTCTGCTGCGTCTGGCGCGCTTTGCGAAGCTCAATGGAATTGCGCAGCCGCTGCGCAGCAGCTACATGGAGTCCGCACTCTGATGGAATTCCGCTAGAAGTCTCTTTCTGTGCAGCACGAACTCGAGGTCTCTCATCCGCAGGCTCAACTCGGACACCGCAATCGCCAAAGCGAAAATCTTTCTCCTCTCGTGCCAGCATCATGTCTGCAGCACAAGCTCAACGCATGGGCTGCGCGCGCAGTTCCAGTGGATACAAGCCCGACTCCTCACTAACGCCGTAAGCCCCATACCCCTACACACTCTCATCAAGCCCGTTGTGTATGTAATGCCCAGGATACTGCTCATTCTGCATGTGATGGCACCCTGTCTGCAGTAAATCGTTTGCGCCAAAGCGTGTGCTGCCCAAGTTCCAAGTATATATTATATATTATATAAGTGTAATGTGTGTATATATATACATTATATATATATATACATACATACATACATACATACATACATACATACATACACATGCGTACAAGATCTTTGAGACTACCTTATAGGGTCTGAGTGCTTTTGGTTTGAGTTCAGGTAGGTCTTTTGAACTTTTCCGCTGCACAGAGATTTCACTTTCGTTCGCGGCCTTCCATTCTGTGTGTGCAAGTGCGTTCCAAGCCAAGCGGCTTAGACAAGGAAGTATTTGCAACCTCCAAGCCGCAAAACCTTGCGGCACCTTCAAGAGAATTTTACTGTCGGAACACAACCCACTCTATGTGAACTGACTATTGAGGCCTGCATCTGGTACAAAGTTGGCGTGGTCTCAGACGAAGGTCGGTCTGTGGCGGCGCTGTGACGGTCAAGTCCAGGGCTTGGGCTTGCATTGTCCTGATCCTACACCAGAAAGATTGCTATGCTGCTATGCGTTGCCTGCGTAATCAGTCACCTCAAACCCTCATTCCAGCGGAGCAAGCAGTTGTTCGGCCGCAGGCTGGGTGAGCCAATTCGAGTTTTCCGAGAAAAACATTGACTACAGGCGAGGTGACGTGCGCAGGGTCAGCGTGATGTAACTGAGAGCCCCGGAAAGTTGAAATGCCCCTTGATGCGACACCAAACATGTGGCCCGAGGCAGCCTCCTCGACTTTTTGCATCCATAGAGGTCATCTACTGGTAGGTTGGGGTGTGGAGCGGCTGCAAGGTATACCACAGCTTTGCACTGGATGTTTTGCCAGCTGGGCTTTGGATCCACTGGCATTGAAGCATCTTGGATGCGGCATGATCTGATGCATAGGGACAATATCGCCAAAGACTGCAGGCCCGTGCAGTTCGCAAGGTTTGCTCGACTCTTGATTTCTAACATTTCCTGTTTGGGCAGACAAGTTCTTGCTAAATGGCTAGACTGGAGCTGTGCAGACTTTTTATCCTACTTTGCTTCTAGGCGCGCACGACGCTGGAGCGTGTCTTTGGACTCATTGCCGCTGGGACATCCGATTTCCGAGGGTTCATTCAAAGATGGGGCGGCTTGGCACAGGGCTTATGCAACATCTAGAGGCTTTTCTGAAGCCCGCGCTGCCTCAAAGAAAGAAGCCTTCCCCAACTTCCGCGGCTCCATAACCTCTGAGTGGTTCAGCCGCCTCCACCACCCGGCTTCCACATGCGCCACATGTACCACCCACAGCACAGCGTGAATCGTTTTCCTACCCTTTGCCACAACTCCGCGGACGTCAAAAGCTTCAAACCTCTGAAAACTCAAAGGGCCAAAACTGCTGTCTAGCAGTTACACAGTGCCCGGAGCTGTGCGCACGAGCTTTGGACTTGTTTTTTTGAGGCTGCGCATTCCAATGCATGTTGCATTGTTAAAACGTCGTGAGCCAAGTTTGTTTGCGAGGTTGCGTTCCTGGCGGTGTTGGTCTTCTCCACACTTCTCGGCGTGCTGGCAATGATTGGTGACAGCGTGCTCGGGTGTGCTATGAGCCTTGAGCCCTATAAACGCTGATTCCAAACTTGTGCACCCTCAACCCCAGTCCCAAGTGCCATCACGAGCCTCACGAACCAGCTGAACAAGGCTTCTGAGGAGCGCAAACACCAGTTTCGCCAGCTGAGGCCGGACGGTGCTTACAGTGGTCGTCTTATCTTCAGATGACACTTTGGCACTTGTTTTGGGGATGCTCTAAGATGCATGTTTCCAGGGTTTCGCAGATGTTTGATCAGTGCTTTTGGCTGCTCATTTACATCTTCTGGAGAGCAAAGTCCCTTGCTCCCTAAGGGAGCAAGGTTCAAGGTGTTGTAAGAGTACGAAGTAGACGGCGTAGAGTCTTTGCTGCATCTGCTTCTGTCAGGACACAAAGCCCTGAACCGTAAACCCTGTCCGGCAGGAAGTACTTGAACCAGCATCACATCAACGAGGACCTCTCCCTGCGGATTACTGGCTTCCTACAGGATGCCTACAGCCTTCGCCAGGCCGCAGAGCAGGGAAGTACGGCCCTCTAAACCTCAATGCTAAGTACATATGATCGAGGGCATATTTTGGCATCTTGGTTGCTGCTATGTTCCGACACCTAAACTCCCATAATCCGTGATTCAATCTGCTTGCCCAGGCACGGCTGGCGGATTCCCAGGTTGCACTGCTGGAGCTACTGTCTTTGAAGCTGCGCGGAGAGCTGCAACTCGCCAGAAGAAGATTTGGTGAAACAGTCAGCCTGAATCCCTGTACCCACATCCTTCAAACACCGTTAAGCCCTAAGCCCTGATCCGGCCCTGAGGCAATATGCGATGTACAAGAGATGCCTTGAGGTGCGGGCATTATGCGAACGAAGCCTCAGTAACTACTGATACATTCCTCCTTCTGAGACGGAGGGACGATGACTTGACAACTCCTCTTCCTGCTCCATCTCTTGGTAATAGTGGCTGGTACTGCTTGTCTAATGAGTGTTGCTAGTGGGGTGGTGGCGGTGGTGGTGGTGGTGACGGCAGTGGTCGTAGTAGTAGCAGCAGTAGTAGTAGTAGTAGTTGTAGTAGAAGTTGAAGTAGAAGTAGAAGTAGAAGTAGAAGTAGAAGTAGA